AGTCCTCACGTTGAAGGTCCCTAGATTAAGTGATTGACGAGGCTTTGGAATCTGCAATCCATTCCGTGGTACTTACAGTGCTATCTGGCAAGGACCTTTGGCGAGCGACATCNATTACAGGTCGGTAGAAGGGGTGAAGGGAGAGGGTTGGGAACGGAAGACAAAGAGTTAAACAAAGGTTGGGATATCTGAGCAGTAGCCCACTTATCACTACCCACCCCGCTCGATGCAATGGGCAGCGCGGTCCTGATTATCCTGCGCGACGAACGATGCAGTAAAGCGACACAACAAAACAATATTGACGTTAATTGTTTTTAGGGACCCTGTCGATTAGGATATCACACCTAGAACTTCATGGTTTCTTATACCTTCAGTGAACTCAGTGGACCGCTAACGATACCCCGTACTGTGCGTCTTTGCTCAGCTTAAGCATATAAACATGGCGTTTGGCGACGAATCAATTCGTAGCCTTAGAGGTGCGCGACTTGAATCTAGACCCGCCTCACGCGCACTAGAGATGCGAATTTCCAGTATGATGCGTCCCGATGAGCAACCGGGGTGAGGGTTCAGTCAGTACAACGAACGATACGTATACGAAGGGAAATCCCTCGAAGTGGAGTGTGCATAAGTCTGAATGCCGATTAGCCTCCGAGAACCAAATGTTCGAATCGAGAGCGGACAGAACAGGTTGAGTGAATCATGAGTGTTCTATTGAAGATAAATGGCAGTCATGGCGGTTTTTTTACACATTTTTGTTGGTTCTGATAAGAAAAAAAAGACGGAGGGCTAGGTCGCAGTTTAATTCTAGCTGAGACCCATCACATGTGTATATAAAGTCAGAGAAAGGAGGAGCGATAGAGTCCGAAAGAAGGAGGGCATATAAAAGCACCGTCGCTATACACTTCGACCGGAGAGCATCGAACAATGCCAAGAGAACAGGTGACGGAAACTATATAAAAAAGGAAAATGGATGAAAATAAACGAAACCGGAAGCGGTCGGTGTGCATGCATCAAAACCAACCAACCAACCGAAAAGGCGTGAATTCACGAAATCCCCCGTTTCAAGTTCAATGGATAGCAAAAAGCAGACAGGAGGTCAAGAGATCAAACGTGGAGAGTGAGAGATTCTGCATGCATTTGCGAGGATTGAGCGTATTAACTGTGATCCATAAGCGAGATACAACGAAGTGCATCCGACGGAACGATAGTTAGATCCACAACATCACCGTAGCGTAAAGGAAACATCCATCCCGCATCGAACACCACATGTGCATCCAACATTGTGGAACGAATTTGTATTCTATGAGACGAATGAAGAAAAACAAAAAACAGAGGATGAGGTGAATCAAAGAATAAATCGCTATAAAATCATGTGACTGAACAGAAGCCGCGGATGAAGCTGACTGCCCGAATTGGTATTGACAATTTTGCGTGCGATTCTCAACTTCAAACCGTGTCGACCAGGGTTTGTACCATCACATCGGAAACAGCCACTACTTATTGCACTTTCGGGATTTGTGAAAACAAGATAACGACGGGGAATGAGATTGTGCGATTTGTTTTGTTCCGCTTGCATCAGTGCTCTCACTTCACTATTAGACGACCTTTTTCTATGAGAGGATATATCTGCTTCACGGTAGAGTTTATTCGAACCTTAGAAATACAGCATAACGTATGATCCACCGGTACCCATAGTAGCACACGAGGTTTTTTTCGGCCGAGGTCAACTCTAACTCTTGTGCGAACAAGTGCTGCCTGTATAGAAAACCGGGTGATGACGATAGGCATTCGTAGTGATTAATTCGGTTTATGCACGTCGTGATGCGGACGCTCGTGGTTTTGTGTGACAGATAACGACTACCAGGCTAACACCCACCACACGATCAGACATCAATACGCTCAGATGCTGAAGCAGTGGTCAGTAAATTCACCCAAGGTGACCGTTCTTCTATCCGCGGCCTGTAGTGTACAATTATGCTGGGCGAAGACGTGCAGCACTGCTTGTCAACGTGTTTCTTTCTTTTGGGCTTCATTAATATACCATCTGATACACATTCTTTCCCTTGTTCTAGTGATTAGGCAAGTAACAGCCAGTCGTAACCGTTAGGGATCAGAATACATGTGATTATGACGGAATTTTCCACCGGTGTAGCACGGCGGTGGCATAGACACGACTGAAAAGAATAATACCGCTGAAGTATGTCATTGCCGTCCGAGGTACTGAGTAGGACACATGAGTCGGGAATCGATCAAGTGAAACCAAACTGCTTTCGGATGGTTTTTGATTGATTGATTAGGAACAAAAATTAAATGAAAGGATAGGGCGAAGGGAAGTTCCGGTTTCAGTTTGTACAACCATTAACCATGCACTTTTGTGCACCGCTATTCTCGCACGGGGATAGGGCTGTTTCCATAAACCAACCTATAACAAAGTTGACAAACATCAATTCCCGTGATGAACTCGGGCGAAAAGGTGCGGTAAGCCCGGAATCGACTTCGGCTATTAACAGATAGGGATCGTAATATTGAAATTAACCTCTCGGACACACCTTTCAGGGAAAAGCAGCGCCAGAGTTTAGAGTGGTCGACTGAGGCAGAGGGAAAGCGAAGGACAAACAAATGAACAGGTAAAGTCAAGTCACCAATTGCCTTATCCTAATTAGATGGACGAAGAAGAATGCGGAACAGACAAACGAAACTGTGGCTACGAGCTCTAAGAAGCGGTCGAAAAATCGGTGATATCTTATGGTTCGTTTGACACAAGTCAAAGCGATGTTTCAAGTTGGCAGAGGTTGAAAAAAGAGCGAAATTAAGCTAGTGTGAGCGATAACGTTCACTTCTGTCATTCAAAAATTGATGCTTCTGCGCGCCTGGAGACAGAATGACAAAGCATGATGAGTCCGATTCGGTCTAGATGAACGATGGTACACAATATACACCCAAAAACGTAGCCATTTATCTGCTCTCCAGATGGGGTTGGAAGATGGTGAGGTGAATACGACCGTAAGATCAGATCGATTCACGCTTGTTTAAATGGGCTGAAAAAACCAGACCAGAAACGGTCGCACAGGCGAGCGAGCGCGCACCCGCCCGCACCAACATCAGAGCGAGACCGGAAAATGACAAGTATTTAGAGTGCCACAAGAGACAGGAGAGGAACAACAAGAAAGCGCACTTACTGTTTGGCCAGACCCCGTGGTTTGGACACATTGAACACGGCTGTAATGTGACGGGAGTTGGGATAGCGGTACCGAGAGTAAGAAGCGTCGAATATGGATGGGACAAGACGGAGTCGAGATGGAGGGGCATTGCGAGTGGGATGGGAGATCAGGAGTTGTATAGAAAACGAACATGTAACCCCCAGTTCAGGACAGCATGCATTCAAGATGACAGGAATGTGGGCAACATGGTGTCTCTAGAGGGAAGGTAGGTAGATAACACTGATTGCGTGTGAACGCATATCAGTACGGCCAGTAAGTTGAGATGTGAGGACACCAAAGTTATATGACTAACGATAATCATCAATTCTATCATAATTTATCTATCTACCTATCTATATTAAGTGAAGTTGGAAATGATCAAATTTGTTTAACCATGCACAAGTTTGAGTACTCATGGGTAAAAGGCAGCAAGACCGGTGTTCAATACCGATATATAAATATGATAAATCCCATGCAATACATTTGGACTAGAAGTTAAAGCCCACTGATTGTGGGCCATGGACTAAATCCGTTTGACTTTTCCTCTACTCGTCCTCCATCTGGAAAAGTGGTCGTCATGCCAGGTGTTTTTTGTTTGTTTGAGAACTCACCACATTTCATTTCTACAATTTCGAGGCATCGATAGAATTATTGCTTGATCACAAAGAAAATTATATACATATGTACATGAGGAAAAACAGAGCACGGGAGCAGAAAACAGATTCTGAATGTAATGGAATTAAACTAGGACCGAGTCGGAATGTAGACAGTTCAGTTTATTCTCAGCCTCAAATGATAACGGGGAAAAACAGCATTGCTTCGGCCTTGAGCGTTCCAGTCGCTATCGTGACTCGTGTCACAGCCCACGAAATAATTTAAAATACAGTAAGAAAATTCGGTGTTCAAAGCACGTATTCCGACTGATGATTAGCGGTATGCTTCAAGCTATATGGTCGAGATACCTAATATCTAAGTCGGAAAGCCAGATATGTCAGCAAACTTGGCACGCCCTTTGATTGCCATGGCCACTTTTGCGTTCACTCTAGTATGGAAACTTCTTTCTTGATTTCCGCAATGTTCCAGTGTCGTTCGTAACCCAGGGAATTATTACTACGATTAAAGGATAATCATTACTGTTCTGTGTCGTCCATCTCACATACTTCTATCTGAACTGGGTTTTATGGTCGGAGCAAGAAATACGAGCGTGCCGGGTGGCAGACCGCTCTTGCACCCATTCCTCGTGTGAAGATGACGGTTTCCTCATTGGTCAATTCCGACATTCAATCGCTGGTTAGCAAACTGGCTGGCCTCACTGATCCGCCAACTTATCGCGTGCACACAAACGCGAGTGTGACATGTATACAG